ACATATTAATTCATGACACTACCCCATATTATCTCTTATTAATTCATAATATTATCCCATATTATCTCATATTAATTCATGATACTACCCCATATTATCTCGTATTAATTCATAATGTTATCCCATATTATCTCATATTAATTCATCAAATTATACTCGCGGTAATCCTCACACTATCGCCTATCAATCACATAATTCCTCACTGTCATACTCATGTTAACTCATCTCAGAAATCTCAGAATCAAACATCAAGGCATCGTTGCACACGATCAACATTCGCGAAACTCTGCTATGTTCGCTGGCATGCTCGCTAGGCGAGTCTGGGCAAGTTTCTTCGCTAGGCGAGTCTGGAAAAACATGGTTCACTAGGTAAAGCTTCCCTTCGCTAGGCGAACAGTGCGATGACAGCAAAATCTGCTACGCACCAGAACTGATTTTTACCCAAAGACTCATACGATTCACACACCCCATGCCCCCAAAACATCCCTAAATCATCCCTAAGGTCATACGACGATAACGGCACAAAACCTACGGTTTATTAGGCCAATTCCATAACATATTCATGTCCTACATCACAATTTCCCTACAATTGCCCTGAAGGCATCAAAGTTACTTCACATTTGAATATTCCTATTCCTTATGGTCGGACACATAATAATCTAAGGTTTTTGGCCACTGAGGCCTAAGGTTTCCTACTTCTCATATTACACATCAAACAGTCAGGAATACTAACCACTAACCACAACCCTCAGGATCTCATTATCAATTTCCTTATTTTTCCACAATCAACCTAAAATCCCTTAAATCTTAAATCAACCACAAACACATCGAAATGAATACATGGAAAATCATGAAAAACTATACTCCCCATACCTTAGCCGATTCAAAGCTTTCACGATTATCTCCGGGATCTTCTGAAGCTTTTGCCTCCACTTCTCCCTCCTCAGAGCTCTGTCCTCCATCCTTTTCACGGTTAATAAAATAAATCCTAAACCTTTAGAATTCTATTTTGTCAAACTTAGACTTGGGCCAAATAATTAGGCTTTTCCCATAATGCCCTCACTTACTCCTCTCAATGCCCACTTTACCCTTATTCCTCTTATATTTATTTTAATTCATAATAATATTAATAAATCCATATTACATACTATTATTCTAAAATAAATACTCCAGTTATGCATAATTCCTCAATAATTCCCAAAATCACCGAAAACACAAAAAATGAATATTCTCAATTAAATAATTAATTAAAATATTCCAATTAAATTTGGGGTGTTACAATAACCATAATCCTATTAATATTATTATTAATAATAATTGAAATAATAATATTAATAATGCTCCTAATCTTGTTATTAAATTACCCCTTATTCTAGGTCCACATTACCCCTAACTAAGGTCAGCTCTCACTCTCGCTCTGAACCTCATACCCTTGTCAAAGACATCACACCAATACACATCATAGAAAAATACAAAAGCGATTAAATAGCTTAAATGAGGTGTTACAAGAAGTATCCACGAAGATAACCATAAATGTGTCATGTGAAACACAAAAATAAAGTCAACATAATTAATATAACTCAAGGTCGGGAGTCACCTATAGTGATGCTGGTCAAAAGTGGTGTTGTCGAAAAGTCTAATGAAAAACATAGGAACGTAGTGAATTAGGCACCATGCCACGGTAACACTTAGTGAAATGGAATACCGGGTCATATTGGCTAAGTGTAGAGTTCACTACGATGGTGGGCAACACGTCGAAGCATGTTACTTTAATATATTTGACGACAAAAGTTTTGACGAGGATTATTAGTTTTTAGCGCCAACTGAGGAGTTAAAAGATTCAGAGGAACAAGCAAGGCGGGAACTATTGCATATGCGTCGACGGTTACTCAGAACGTGGGCACGTCAAGGGAAAAAACTGCTACATGATCTGAAGACATTTGTCATCATGGGGATAGTTTTTAGTCTTGTACAATTAATTTTGACTTGTATATATAACAACTTAGGTTTATTTTGTAAGAAGTCCACAAATTATACACATTTCTACTACACTCAAAGTATTTGCGCTGTGAGAAACGAGTGAGGAAAATGTACGTATATGTTCCACCAATTTAATACATTCCAACATTTTTATCTTAAAACGTCTTGTTTCTATGCATTTGAACCCTTTTTTACTTTCGAATACCTTTACGTTTCTCGCTCTATTTTTGACTGCCTTTATCTTTTCAACAAACTTTACTTCAAAAGTCTTTTTGTTAGACGAAGGCACTAATATAGAAGGGGATGGTTGAATAAATCACTTTATTTTTAATAATTTGCGCTTTAATAAATTATTCTAAAAATATGCGAAAGCAGCCTTAGATCAAAACTCGTCTATCTGAACCTTTATTAGAAAGATCGAATATGCGAAACCGAATGGAATGATCTTGATGAGAGAGTAAAATTGCTAAGGTTCCCAATCATTTATTCAAATAAAAGACACTTAAGGTGAATCAGTTTCCAATGCTTAATAGAGGATAAAATTTGAATTGACAATATATCAAACAGTTTGTGTATTATCAAGATATCAAACACTTGACTTGCGAAACTCTCTAAGTCAAATTTCCTTTAAATTTGTAGTGCATAATTTTTCTCACTTGCAATCAAAGTGAATGCAATAAGTTTACACAATTGTTTAAAACACTACAAGTTCAATCGAAATATTGGTAACAATTAATTTCACACAAACTTCAACAATATAAAGGTAAAGAGATAGAGAGAGAAAAACACCTGATTTGTTTAGGTAGTTATATGTCTGCCCTCAATTCTAAATTAGAATTGAGATAAGTATAATATTTGTGTGTAATATTCAGTACAAGAGAAGTCCTAGCTAACCAACAATCTAACCCAATTGTTGAGGTTGAATTTAACCACTTCTCTCCCCTTGATTCCAACTGAATCAAGTGCATCAAATACTTCAAACAAAGTCTTTCACTCAGATGATTTCGATGGCAAGATGTTTGACTCCAAATCTTTCAAAATAATCTTTTGGTTATCGTTACTCCCTTGACTGAAACAACCGTTCTTCAAGGCTTTCACTCAGCTGAATCTGTGTTGCGAAGACTTGTACAAAAAACCCCACAATTCTTTCAAGATCTTGGAGGATAAAACTCCAATGATTTTATCGAAAAAAATCCCACTGAATCTCTACCCAAACTTGATTTACAAATTCTATGTTTGAACGTTATTACTCTTGACAAAACATAATTAATAAAGATGATTATATGTGATTATTGATGAATGCAATTGTGAGAGTAAAAATGAAGAGCAAAACAATGTTTCTTTCAATTTTCTTCTTATTTTTTAAAGTGATGCATACGAGGATATTTGTACGTACATAAATGAATAAAGAAAACTGAGTTTGGGAACACAAAGACACAAAAAATGAGTAAACACGCGCGAGAGGTCGACCTCTGACATCTATGAGTCAACCTGAATAAAGCAGTGACCATGATAGTCAATATAAATCTTCATTGCAATGCATGGTTGTAGGCAGAAAAATCCTATTTTGGTAATAAGTAACTAACTAATTGGAAGTTTATTGCACAAATTTTCATTTTGTAAATAGATTTTTCAATGTTGCAAGTAGAGTTGTCAAAATGAGCTATCCGATTTTAAATGGGTCGGCTTTTGTGAACTCAAATTTTTTAGGACTAAGTCAAAAAATTAATTTTTAATATGGATTCAAAATTTACTATCCATGTTCGGCCCTAGATGGACTTCGGGCTATCCGACCTTAAATGAGTTTTTTTTTTTTTAAATTAAAAATAAAAATTAAAATAACATAATATTTATTAAAAATTATATCATTTTAAACATAATACATTTTTAAGTATTATATTATCTTTTATAAATACTATAATGTGTTTTTAAATACAAAACATATTTAAGTTGTCTAAAATAATACTCGAATATTTAACATAAGAGAAGCTAGTAAAATAATGTATAATATTTAAAAGAGAAAGATTGAATAAAATAGAGATAAAATTTAATGAGGTGAGAAAAATCAATGTGTTATTTTGAAGTAAGACAACATAAATATTATTCTATATTTTTTTTAAAATTTATAACGATGTGGATCTAATGTGCTGCCCACTTGCCCTAATGAGTAGTAAATTTTGTAGGATTGAACTAAAAAAACTTTAAAAAATATAAACTCTAATTTTAAAGTTTAAAACTTATGATTTTTCGAATCTAACACGCCGATCTATATATACCGATTCATTTTGCCAGCACTAGTTACAAGTTAAAAAAATATTATAATAACTACTCATTTAAATTTACTAAAAAAATAATAGTTTAGATAAAAATTAATATTATAGGTATTTCCCCATCTCAACGTACAGTTTAGTTTTATAGGTATTTTTCTTATATAAACATATATTTTAGTTTTTCTTTTCTTATAAAATACTTTTTATCATTTGAACAAACTAACAATTCTCAATAAATACAAAAGTTAATAAGTACACAATAAATACAAAAGTTAATAAGTACAGTAATATTTTAAATTTATGTTCGGCTAATAATCATTTGAGAGTCTATTGTGTCTGTATTACAATTACCATTTCATATAATAATTTTTAATAAATTATATGAAATGAGAATAATAAAAATATTAATTTAAATATGTAATGAGTAATAAAATTTATTTTTTAAAACATAAAAATTATATAAAATAAAAAAATGAAATCACAAATCCAAATAAACAATGAGTCAATAAAAATTATTTTTTTACAAAGAAAAATGAAAATCTTATTCCACCAAAATAAAATTACCCCGCAAAGACGAGTGTTTTTTTAAAGTATTACTCCTTCCTAATTCTCAATACGGTTCAAAATCGTGTTGGGCCTTGTAGAGAGAGCTAAGATCTTCATATTCATACCCATCCTTCCATTCCCAACTCTATTCTTCCATTCTCCCATACAATTTCCGCAATCACAACGATTCCAACTCTCATAAACATGGTACTTTCCCTCTCTTTATTCTCTTCCTACTATTCTACTTAACCCCAATTTTTCAATCTAATTTTTTCAAAATCGAACTACTCTTGGTTGCAGGCTACTCTTGCTGACACTTTTCTCGCCGACCTCGATGAACTCTCCGATAACGAGGCTGAAATTCCCGTGAGTTTTCAATTTTCAATTTTCAATTTTGAAGCAATTTTTTTTCTGTATGTGTGATTAATTTGATGTGCAATGTGCGCGGGTTTATCTCAGGCGGATGATGATGTGGATGCGGCAGACATGGATGAAGATGTTGATGGTGACCTAGCTGATTTGGAAAACCTTCACTATGAGGACTTGGATAGTGTTTCCAAGTTGCAGAAAACCCAGAGATACATTGATGTTATACAGGTTTGTTACTATTCATTTGGTTTTGAATGGTTTTATATTGTGCTCTCTGAAAGAAGGTGTGTCAGTGTCTGTGTTTGAAGAAACCGACATCACACTTCTGATTACGTTTAATTTATTCATTTTTCAAATTATTACCGGTGTTAACGTGTCAGTGTCACGGTTTAAAACTAGATTTGTTGTTGTATTGTTTCTGAATTTTGGTAAAATCTAGAATCAGTTCAACTAAGAGTATGATTGTGTATTCATTGGCATGCGTTATGAGATGCCGAAACATAGAAGCAAGCAACATAATTGTTTGTTGCTATGGAGCAAATTAGGTTTTGAGTGCTTGTAGAATTTGAAAACAAAGACACCTTCAGCGTCTTACATTTTTGGCGGCTCTGTGTAGGTTAACCACATTTAAGTCGACAAATCAAATAGACCCTATTCTATCATGATGTAATTGTGACAAATCTTTTATGAAGCTCTCTTTAGCCACGGTTTAAATGAGTCAAATTTTGCTCCCTGAGCGCTGGGGTTAAGCTTTGTACTGTTTGCAGCTGAAGCTTTTAACAACCCTCATTGTTTGTTTGATTTTTACTTAATCATTGTTTCTCTTTCTGTTTTATTTTTAAATGTATGGAGATTTTTATATATTTAGATGTGTGTTGAATTTGGCATGTAACTGAGGGCTAATGTTGTTATTCTTTATGGCAGAAAGTGGAAGATGCCCTTAAAAAGGGTTCAGATGTCTCAATTCAGGGCGTAGATTTAGAAGACGATCCTGAATACCAATTAATTGTGGAATGCAATGCTTTGTCAGTTGACATTGAGAATGAAATTGTCATTATTCACAATTTTATTCGCGACAAGTATCGTTTGAAATTTCCTGAGCTAGAGTCACTAGTACATCACCCAATTGATTATGCACGGGTTGTTAAGAAGATAGGAAATGAAATGGATTTGACTCTTGTCGATTTAGAAGGGCTTTTACCATCGGCCATTATCATGGTTGTCTCGGTTACAGCATCGACTACGACTGGCAAGCCACTTCCAGAAGAAGTCCTTAGTAAGACATTTGAGGCTTGTGATCGAGCTCTTGCCCTTGATTCGGCGAAGAAGAAAGTTCTTGATTTTGTAGAAAGTAGAATGGGTTACATTGCCCCCAATGTTTCTACTATAGTTGGGAGTGCTGTCGCAGCTAAACTCATGGGAACAGCTGGTGGTCTATCTGCTCTTGCAAAGATGCCGGCTTGTAATGTTCAGCTTCTTGGAGCCAAGAAAAAAAATCTCGCTGGATTCTCCACTGCAACTTCGCAATTTCATGTAGGTTACATAGAGCAAACAGAAATATTTCAGACTACTCCCCCTCCTCTAAGAATGCGTGCATGCCGACTCCTGGCTGCAAAATCTACACTTGCGGCACGAGTAGACTCAATTCGTGGGGATCCATCTGGGAAAACTGGAAGATCCCTCAAGGATGAGATCCATAAAAAAATTGAGAAGTGGCAAGAGCCCCCTCCTGCCAAGCAACCGAAACCACTTCCAGTGCCTGATTCTGAACCTAAAAAGAAGAGAGGTGGCCGAAGGCTTAGGAAAATGAAGGAGAGGTTAGCAGAAAGTTTGCTACTACTTATTTATCTCAGGGTGCAGGGTTGAGAGTATATTAATTTTTTACTTTTTTTCTTTCTAATTCATGATTTGTTGATTCCTATGTCAGGTATGCAATAACTGACATGAGGAAGTTAGCCAATAGGATGCAATTTGGAATTCCTGAAGAGAGCTCTTTAGGTAATTTTATCAGATTTCACTTGTCCTGATCTGATTTACATTTGGAGTGCAATGCTTTGCATTTTTTTTTGTAATTAAGGAAGTAAAGATTAGGTAGAAGGAGAAAAGCAGAATATCAGGAATGCTACTTTGAATAATTGTGATATTATGGTAGCAAACTCCTTGTTAGCCATGACTATGCTAGATTGTGTGAGTGTAATTTTGATCTGGTTCCTATTAATTAGTACTCCTATTATACTTATGATATTAATAATCGACACAGAAAGTACACTGTATTCATGGAACTTAACATGGCTTAAATGAGTTGTTATAATTCTATTTGGAACTCTCAAAACCGGACAAGTAAAAATATCAGGCAACTTTTGGTTGACTTGTTTTAGCTTTATATTGAATTTAACTCATCCTTACAAATGGTTTTGTAAGGTGAGGGTTGTCACTCTTTATTTACTCATTTCATACCTTATCTTTCTTCTATGTGGGACTTGTATTTTTTCTAATATAACATAAAAAACAAACAACAAATCATGAAAAATAAAATATAAATTAGAAAAATGTCTTGCAACATGTTCAAACAACAATTTTAGGATTGAAAGTACAAGGGTTGTAAGAGGGTAAAACTATTACCAGCCTTAGACACAATATTGTGCTACCACTAATTCAATTCCAATTATCCAGATCACACTAGTGTGACCAAGATTAAAATAAATCTCCCTTCGAACATGATAAGACTCCTAATACCTAACCTTTTGATAAAGGCAGTGTGAAATCCCTTGGACGTGAACTTCATCCCTTTTTTGTTTTTTATTCTTTTAATATGCTTAATTTGCAATAATGTCGTTTTCTTCTTATTTTTTAAAATATTTTTATGATGTGTGTAATAGGGGATGGTCTGGGTGAGGGTTATGGAATGCTTGGTCAAGCTGGCAGTGGCAAGCTTCGTGTGTCAGCAGGTCAAAGCAAACTTGCTGCAAAAGTCGCTAAAAAGTTAGTATTTTCTTTCTGATTTTAGTTCTACATATCTTAGTTTCTGGTTGATTAATTGTGTTGCGATATTCTTAACCATCATTCCTGTCTCAGTAATTATCTATGTAAACAAAATGACAATTCTGATGAACTATTTTCATTTGTCAGATTTAAGGAAAAGAATTATGGTAGCAGTGGTGCTACATCTGGTTTAACCTCAAGTCTTGCATTTACACCAGTACAGGTTAGGCTTCATTTATTACTGTTTCTGTAGATTTTCTCTCGCTCTGTAGCTGGATAACTAGTGTTGGAGTTCTTTTTTGTGTAAAAATGGTAATGGGAAACTGTTAATGTAAGTATTGTGAAAAGCGTGAGGAGCAAATTTAGGTACAAATCACATCATAAGTTTTCCAGGCCCTCAAATAAATCAATGGCATGTTAATGATCATGAAAAGGATGTCTACCAACACATGTGAGTTTTCTTTATCTAGGAACATGCGGGCCTGTGATGCCCTAGTTAAGATGTTCTAGAATTCCATGTTGCCCATTGAGCCACTTCCATACTTGGTTCTGTCCTTTCAGAAGCCATTTTGTGATGATTCGTCATTCTTTTAGGACTTGAGAATAGAGATATGATTGCGAAACTTTCGAGTTAACTCAGTGTCGTATGAGTTTACAATTCTATGCATCAAAACTAAACTAGCTTCCATACAAAACCACTTTCTTCTAAACTCATGAAGACCGGCTTAGAACTCAAGTTTATGGTTGATTGAACGAGTCTAAAAATATAATGCTTATTTTCTCCTAGACACGAATAAGAGGTTTAGTAATGTAAATGAATATAAGGCTCTCTAGTGCACAACAATTATTCTCGTAATCGCAGCACTCTACTCCATAGATGCATGATGCATCTGAAATCACAACACACCCATTTGTAAAGGGGGCGAACAAGGTTGTGTTGGTTCTCAATCCCATACTGCTACCCTCAACCAGAATGCATGAACAAAAACCCTTTGTTACAATTTTACAGTGATCTCAAGTCAATTAGGGGAATGAATCCAACTCTGATGAGCTGAATCCTGCTCCTACGATGAGGGGAACCCAACTATTCCACCATTATTCACTTTTAGCAATTTTGAATCTTGTCATTGTCCATTTCTTCATTGATTTTGAACTCGTTATGCTCTTTTAGATGGAGTAGAATTTTCTGTTTTGCGCACTCTTGGCATCCCCACCATGCATTGTAGCTCCTTGTGGTTGACTTCTCATTTGTTGCCCTTCACTCTCACCAGCAGCCACTTCTGTTTTCATCCTTTTCATTAATCATGAGTATTTCCTTGATTATCACTTCTTCCACCTATGGGCCTGTCTTTTGATATTCTAAAGAGATTCCCACTGGCAAATTGCGGCTTGTTAGATGCTGGACTGCAAAGTGCCTGTCTCATGAGAAACAGTGACAAGTCTCTACTTCTCAAACACCCTTCATACATTTGTACCTTCACATTTGCTCTCATACACTTATTAATCGTATAGTATCACAATCCGCCAGTTGCTTCTCCTTAGTCGTTTCCTTCATTTAGAAAGCTTGTCAATCTCGATCACCCTTCCCAACTCTCAAGCCTCATCTCCTTCAAACACTTGAATCTCCAGTCATTTCCTACATTCAACCACCATGTTTTCAAGATTTAGGAGTAATTACAACAACCGTACCTGAATCTCTTTTATGTATTTGCATCTGGCTTCCATGAACCAATTCACGGCGTCAATACTTTGACACTAATTAATTGAAAACCATCCTGATACAGTCAAAAACTGGGGATTAACCCATAAACCACAAACTGAAATAAGAAGTGACAGAGACTGCTAGTACTTCGAGGGGCTCAGTGTTAAAGCTTCCTAGTTCCTCCCAAATCCTACTTCTCAACCGAATTCCTCTGTCCTCTCCATTGAGGCTATTAGCTCAGGTAGGTTGTTGGTAAAATTTTCCCTGGTTTTCTCATTTATTAGACTGCAGTCTTTAGCCTGTGATTTAGTTAACGCATGAATAAGATATACTCAGAGTTAGACAGGTGGCAGATTTGTTTATACGAGTTGCAAACTTATGAAACCATCAAAATAATCTGAAGAGTAAAAGAACATGATAGGAGATCTTTAGTTAAAAAGATCTATGTGACAGACTAGTGAGCTGACATTTGTAACAAAGCAGCAGTTGTTATGATCTGGCACTTGTAACTAACCAGCAGTTGTAATAAATAGGAAGGAGAGGAATTTGGATCCTCATGCTGCCCATTCTGCTTTGATCTAATGGTTGTAAAACAAAAAGATAAAAAATCTGCATTAAAAAACATGCAAGATCAAATGGTTAGATTAAATCTAAGGAATGGAAATTGAGCAGGAGAGATGGCCATAGAAGAAATGCAGGAGAGGATTCATTTCCGAAGTAGAGGGAAGTGAGAAGTTTGGTCATTGGTTGTAAGTACTGAACTGGGAGAGGTTTTAGGGATCTCTCAAATTACCCTTGTATTGTTCTTCCTCTGGCCACATTGGAGCGAGTTTCACAAAAAGATCATCACTCATCTATTCTTGTCCTTTCCTGTTTGATACCTAGTTGAATCTAGGGATGAGAATAGGCTAGGCCGGCCTACAGAGACCTATAACTTAACCTATTTAAGGTCAGGTTAGGTCAGGTCCGACCTATTTATTAAAAAAGTCAGGCTTAAGCTTTTTTAAAAGTCTATTAATTAAATAGGTCAGACTTAAGCTATTAAAAAAGTTTATGAAACCTTATAGGTCGGCCTATATTTTTATATATATTAAAAATAGTTTGAACATGCTGACCTATATATGCATATATATTAGAAAAATGTTAAATAGGCTGGCCTACATATGCATATATATTAGAAAATTTTAATAAGAAACAGACTTTTAATAAGGAATATGGATTAATTGAAAATTTTAATAAGAAATAGACTTTTAAATAGGTTTTCAAGATAGACTAGACTTTTAAAAAAAGCAGATCAGGCAAAAAAAAAAGAGTTTATAGGAGGCCATAAGTCAAGCTCAAGCCTTGTAAGTTTATCATAGGTCTGTGTATATCAATACTTTCCCAGTTCCTTTTTAATTGTCATTTTTTTTGACTTTTTACGCCTACTAAAAAATCAAATAATTGTTGTTACTTTTTAAACTATGACTTTCTTTTTGCCTATAATACCTCTAATTTTAATTATTTTAATATATTTTTTTCTCTCCATAATAAATAGTTAGGAGTAATTTTGATAAAACTATAATTATTACTGTCTTGAATTTCGAAAACGACAGGAAAATAAACATAAATTTTTCATAAAAGAGATAAAAGAGACACTTCAGAAGAAACGGAGGGAGTAATATTTAAGAGTATTTACTAGTATGGGTGGTGAATATGAGTTCGAACTCAAAATGCTTTTAGCCCAGTAATTTAGTTAGTCGTGTTTATTTATTTATCTATTTTCAGGGGATCGAGCTGACAAATCCACAGGCTCATGCGCATCAACTTGGTAGTGGAACTCAAAGCACCTACTTCTCTGAAACAGGAACATTTTCGAAGATCAAGAGGACTTGAAACCATGAATGAACCGAGTTCTTGTTTTTGTCTACTGAATTGGTGAGGGTAAAACATACAATTGAATTTGTATCATAATTCATAGCCATATTTGATGTTAATTATGCGTGAACCTGGTTTCTGGTTTCCTCTACAAAGATCCGAGTGTTGAAGTTCCCTTTGTATGTCACTTTTCCAATGCTTCCTTTGAGGTTGCTATTCATAGCTATAGAGTGGTAATCAATCTATACCATTTTCACGAGATAGGTTAAGAACAAAAAAGAGAACTGACAATGTAGACTATAAGGTTAATTTCAACTAAAGACCAAGTTTTTTTGGGGCTATCTTAAAGCCCAATGGCATTGCTCCGTGCATTGAGGAGAACTGATTCCTATGGGTTTAGTTAGAGGAATCTATCTGGCACCCCATCTTAGATTTGGCACCCCACTTATTTTCATAATGTTAATCTTTGTAAATTTCTTTTAGGCGTGAAAAATCTGGCAGTGGCTGAAGCTGACCATTTTAAAATGTTAAAATTGTTGGTAATAACACTTACTGACATACTGAATATTTCTAAATTGCCGTTAGAAATGAAAGTAAAAATTGAGATTATATTGAATGTTTTTCAATTGTCAGTATTAAATTACTACCTCTTTTTCGAGATAATTCAGTTTTTAAATTTATTAAATGATTAATATATTTGGTCAGTTTAAAGGTTAGATATACTAATTATTCAATGAATCCAAAAAGTGAATTGTAAAAAAAAATGGAGGTAATATAATTTTAGTATCGGCGATTTTAAAGATCCTTAACCATGTTTTTTTCTAAGTATTTGTATCATATAAAAAATAGGGATAAATGCATAATCTTGGTAGAATACTAAGCTTTTTTTTTTTTTTTTTTTTGAAATGTAAAATTTGTCTTTTTTGTTTAAATTAATGGATATCTACGGTGTCATTCAAGTTGGAGTTTCCAAGAAAAAATATTAATGTTTTTTTAGTGAAATTTTTACTAATATTTCAAAATTTTAAAATAATTCAGTTTTCAAACTATTTTTTAAAGTATTCCACTTTAGAATATTGTCTGAGTGTAGGTGTCATATCAATTGACGATCCTTCACAATCAACAAGGACTATCACCAATTAGATTGGAGACAACACATGGTGTTGATATGACGATCCTTCACAATCAACAAGGACTATCACCAATTAGATTGGAGACAACACATGGTGTTGTCAATTCAATTGGCGACACATTGTAAATGTTAAAAGGGTATCACCAATTTAATTAGAGACATGTTTGAAAGTGACCTTTTTTTTTTATAAATAAAAGTGTTTTGATCATTTATTTCCATATCTCATATCTTTGTATTACTGATAACATGTATCGCCGCCGCTACAAGAAAGTCATATATTAGAGAGAAGCCTCTGATGGACATGCTGTTTTGAAACATTCAAAGTTTTAATCAACTAAAGAGAGAGTTGAGTCGGTGGTTAGAAGGAGACATACCTGAAGGGGAAAAAATTAGAAGTACAGAGAGACATGATCGCCTGCGTGGGTGAGTTCACGTTAAGACTGGCAAGGATGCAAGGGAAGTGATGTTTGGATCAAATGACATCAATTTGATTGTTGTAGTCAGTTAGAAATGTTTTATTTTCCTGTTTTGATAGTTGTTGTATGTGTTGTTTGTTGTTAACTTTGTTGTAACAAAAAGTCATTAATATATGAAAATATAAGGTTATAACAATTGAAAGGAGAAACTAAATTATGATGTAGAGGTTGCTCCGACATTGAGTCAATTCTTTCGATTGTGCCTGGTCTGACGACATGCTTAATCTTATCATTTTATGAGCCGTATCCATTTTTGTTCTTATGTGTGTGCTGTTTGGGTGTCTTTTTTTCTTTCTTCACATCTTATCGTTGTGTCAAACTATGTCCCCTTGGTATGGAGGCCAATATTCCTCCATTGCTTGCACTGTGAAATCTTCGTTGTAGACATTCATAATGTTAATGATCTTGTAAACATCAGATAGATGGTTATAAGCATTCTGACGAGCATGTGCGCATGCCACAATGACATGTGAGCAAACACGAAAGGTTTGGTACTTGCCACAGTCACACCAACATCTGTTTAGTTTGATATCATATAATAAGTTTGGCCTCCCATCATTGTGGTCCATTGTTTTCCGTACAGTGAAAGTTTGCCTATGACGGTCAAAGACTGCAACTGCATGTATGCTGGCTTTGATATTTTCCTCTTTCATCACTTTCATTATGCTTTCACTAAATAATTGACCAGACATTAACACTGCACTCCATCTTTCGCCTCTTGTTGCAAAAAGTGATGTCAACCTATAATAGGTTAATCTCACCAATGCAGTGATTGGAAAGTTTCTAATTCCTTTGTAGACGCCGTTCATGGATTCCACAAGGTTTGTTGTCATGTGGCAACGACATCCACCATCAAATGCCCTTGTTCATTTGTCCAACGGAATGTTATCCAACCACCTTCCTGCATCTGCATTTGACGTCGTAATTTCATTAAGGTAGTATTGAAATGATGGCTGAGTTAGAGCATACCCTATATTCACAACTTTTTTGCGAAGGTTTGATTGCACGCATGAAGTTTTGTGTATATGTCTAATGCAATAAACATGGGTAGAAGGAGGATTATGCCACCCGTTATCATGGTTATTGTAAGCACTCTTAATAACAACATGCCAATCTGAAATCAAACAAAGATTGACTTGTGGAGCCACATGTGTTTTGAGGTTCTTAAGGAAGAAACTCCAACCAACAATAGTCTCACCTTTAACTACCATGGGAAAGACATTATTGTTGTCGTCTTGCGCAACAACCATAAGCAAAGTGCTCTTGTATTTTCCGTACATCCATGTTCCATCTGACCTACATGCCAACACAGTCTGCATGATTCAGCCTACATGCTCAGCCTATTCACGTGCCTATGAGTCTCCAAATGGATTGGCGACTCTTCACAAGCATTGAACATGGTCGCCAATTCAATTGGTGCCACCTTGCTGCATGAAGTTTGACACTTTGATCACATGCATGACCTATGTTCCTATATAAATTCAGCTAGAGGTATTATTCTATGAATCATCATAAACATTTTATCAGAGATAATCAAGTCTAGAGTGTCACTAGTATAAGAAACATTTAATCAACTATAATGTCTCTATTAACAATGGGTGAAATGCATAGAGGCACTGTCGTTAATATTGAGACTTATGTAAGTGTTTACTCCACTAAGTATTTTTTCTTTATTGACAATGTGTAAATGTGTACGTCTTTGTCGCGGTGAAATTTGGATACCAAGCTATTGCTGAGCTTGAATCTTAATTCATTTGCAACCGAACTTTAATTTGTCCAAAGGAAGGGAAAAAGATCGAATTACCCACAATGCAATGCAAATGCAAAGGTTAGAAGTTATAGGTTCGGGGGTTGGTTAAACTTAGGGAAGGTGCTAGCATCCTAAGTTTCTGTAGTACTCTATAGGAACCTCTTGTTTTATGTTGTTTATTGCTAAGGGTTATCTGCTTAAGGATGAAAGACCTAGGGGTTTATTTCTAAGTATACTCGATAAGATATCGCATCTTATGCCTACATATCCTGACGGGAGTGGAATCAGAGTATCTGTAGTTCCCCTAAAGGGTTTGAGGAGTTCTTTAATTGTGGTCAAAGTTACTACGGGATAAAGATAGTTGATTGATTGATTTTAGGAGAAAAAATGAGTTGTCATTTTAAGGGAGATTACTTGGTTTAACCGCCACAACTTTGTAGGAAAATTGATTATATTGTTATGGGGTAGGAGTTTTATCTCGCTTAAGATGATTAACATCTTATTTTCTAATATGTTTGAATAGTTTGAATAGTTTGAATTGAGTTGTTGAATGTGTTTGTCTAAGTTGTAAAGATAAAAGAAAAAGGTCCTCCTTATGGGGTAGGATCTATCTTAAAAAGATCAACTTGAATGGGATCAAGGATCAAAGAGGAGTATGATGCAAATGAAATGCATACGCACAATTGTTTAAGTTATGCGCAAGTTCTTCCTTTGGGCGCTATGCAATGCGATAAGATAAATACGGTAAATGTAAATGCGGTAAAATAAAGGCAAATAAATAAGAGCATACACAAACGCATGAAAGCGCTAGGGTGCACAAGTGTGTGAAAGTGTAAGTGAACACGTGAACGGATCGGAGCGGAGGCGGAAGCGTGCACGATTGATCGAGTTGATAGATTGATTAATTCTCGAGAGATTGATTTTAAGGGTAGTTATATTATTAGTATTACGTGAGTTGATTTGTTTTAGTTTTAATAAAAGTTGGTGAATTAATTAAGTTTTAATTGGTTCATTTTGAATAAAAGAAGTTTAAATATCTAAAAGGTTTTCATTATTTATCTTATTAAATAAAAAAATAATTTAAACATGAAATGGTTTATTAAAAGTTATGGTTATTATTAAAAGTTAATTTGAATTATGAAAAGGGTTTTTTTATTTTTATGAATAAAATTATTTTAGTTACTAACAAATGAAATGCAAATGGTAGAAAGTTGGATAGATGATTAAATTATTATTAATAAATGATTTGATTAATAAAATGGGATAAATCTAAAATTATTAGAGAAAATTGATTTAGATAAAAGCTAGTTAAAAAGGTTGATTAAATTTAGAGAAAAAGGGTTAATTAAATAAATAAGCTAATAGTTATTTTAAATAAAAAAATCAATCATAAAAGATTAGATTACTAATAAAAAGAATTATATTAAGTTAAAAGTCAGATTAATGGGTTTATAGAAAAGTTAATTAGGTTAATTAATTAATTAAGAAAAGTGATGATTAAGTTATTAATGCAGACTTAAAGGGCTAATTGGTGATTAACTGGTGGTTAATGGGGAGTGGGGCGGATGATTGTGTGTGTGCAGGTGCAGGGAGTTCACCGTGGGTTTGCAAGGTGAGACGATGGATCGTGATGAGGTGACGATGAACGGTGACGACGGCG